TTAAGCTGCAATCTGTTAGTGTTCTAATTAATTATGGTTTGATAGAAGAAGATAATCTTATCTGGAAGAGCCTGGCAATTACTCTAAACTTCCACTAAGTGTTTCTTTCACCTTTAGTCATGGCCTGATAAAAAGTTTGAACCTAAAGAAGACACAGATAAGGTTTTAGAAGGTGATTTTCCCACACAGTCTGATCCACTGTGCCAAAGGACAGTGGAGATGTGCAGGAATATTAAAATAGACTTGGCTCTGCCTTTCCAGAGAGGGATCCATTAATAACAAGAAGGACATTGTGACTCTCTTAAAATGATACAAGATTGTCTCAAGCAATCACCTAAAAGTCCAGTCAGCCTGGTCCTTGCTGGACCTGGAAAATTTGGAGTCACTGGAGACAAACGTTTTGCCAGAAAAGGTGGATGAGTTCCCCCCTGGAGAACTCCTGTCCTGTCCTGTCCTGCAGCCTCAGAGCTCGATGCAGTGCTTTGATGATGTCAGTGCCAAGCAGGGACACAATCCAGCTCCCTCAGGTTAAATAACTCTGAAATTAATCACAAAACACCTCACCATCGGATCCCTTTGGTTAAATAATTCTGAAATTAATCACAAAACACCTCACCATTGGATCCCTTTGGTCAAATAATTCTAAAATTAATCACAAAACACCTCACCAGCGGGGCAGGTCAGCGATAGATGTAAACAAAGCAGTCACCAAATACACCTGTACAACTGGAGAGCCCTTGGCAGGGCAGGAATTACAACACCACTGGCCCATCCCACTCTTCCCAAGGTGGGAATTGTGCTCCTTTCGTGGGGTATGAGGATGTCCATCAAGTAAACAGCACTAAGGATTTTCTCCTGCACGGTGATGCAACACAGCAGGATTGCTAAATCATGGTACAGACGTGATCCCAAACCTCTGAACCTCATGGAATGCAAACCTGAGGGGCACCAGCAGCCACTGCTCCACAGTCCCACTAAATAAACAAAAATAACAGCTTCTGATCCTCCCTGGAATACAAGAACAGCACTGAGGCTGCACTGCAGCTGGTCCAATACAATATATTTTATATGCTTGCAACACACATTAATTATTATTGTGAAGTTAGGAGAGATTTCAAGTTTTCCATGATTTCAGACGTTGGGAAAATCTTTACATCCTGATCAGCACCAGGACATGATCCCTTTGGAAGTCCTCTAGCATAGGAGCAAAACACAAAACCTCAGTCTATATTGAAAAACAAAACAAAAAGGAAACACCACCCTTTAAAAGGAAGAAACAAGAAACGGTTCAGGTTATTCCCTGGCACAGGTTTATCCACTACAACCCAACACTACAAGGCTTCAGTGAAAGAGCAAGAGGTTGAATAAACAGAGAAAAGGCAATCAAAGGAAGCACTGGAAGACTGAGCAGCCTGCTTCCAGAAGAAGCGACATTAAATATAAGGCCACAAACACGCCCATTTTGCTCCTCAGCAAAGAGCCTGAGAGGCGAGACGTGAAGTGTGTTAGCAGGCTGAAAGGTTGGGTATTTTAGATCACACACAGACAACACACGAACGCCCAGAGCCGGGCACAGCGAGGGGACACGCTGCACACAAAGGCCACCTGGCAGATGGGAGCGCGAAATAAACAATTATCCAGGAGAGCAGCCACCAGCCCCAGGGCCGAGCCGGGGGGCCGCGGGGCAGGGACACAGCAGAGACAGGGGGACAGAGAAAACGCCGGGGAAGGGCAGGGGGAAGACAGAACCCCTCAGGATCGCCCCCTCCCCGGCCCAGCGCCCCCTCAGGGTCCGCACAGGGCCCGGCCCCGCCCGGCGCCCCCTCCCCGGGGCCCGCCCGCCCCTCAGGCCCCGGCCCCGCGCACTCGCCTCGTCCGCGCTCAGCTCCTCCATCGCCTTCCTCTTAATGGTGCCCGGAGGGAGGGCGCGATCCTCCTCCCCGCCGCGGGGCCGCTCCGAGCCCGCGCTCTGCCGCCGCCGCTGCCCCCCGGGCCGCCTCACAAGGGCATCTCCGGGGCGACCGCCGCCGGCCGAACCCACCGCCGCCCCCGGCCCCGCCGCCCGCCCGTCCGTCCGCCCGCGCCTCCGCTGCCGCTGCGGCCAAGGGGGAGCCGCCCGTCCGCAGTGCCCCCTCACACGCCCCCCTCAGCCCCTGAGCCCCGGCCCCCGCCCGCCCGCGGCCGCTGCCCCGCGCAGGGATTATTCATCAAAACAACAGGGCGGCCGCGGCCATCTTGGGGGGCGGGATCACGTGACCCGCCGCACTAAAGGGGCGGGGCCGCGCCCTGGGGCCGCGCGCGCGCCGAGCCGGCCAATGGAGGCGAGCCGAGGGGGCGGGGAGGGGCGGGGCCAGAGAGGCGGGGAGGGAGGGAGGGGCGGGGGGGTCCGTGAGGCGGGGAGGGAGAATGGTGGGAGGAGCCAGGGGGCCGTGAGGGGGCAGTGAGGGGGCAGTGAGGGAGCCGGGGAAGGCGGGCTCAGGGTCCATGAAAGGTCTAAGGAAGGCGGGCCCGGGGGTCCGTGAAGGGTCTAAGGCAGGCAGGCTCAGGGTCCGTGAGGGGAGAGAAGAAGGGCGGGAAGGAGGGAGCAGCGCCCTGAGGGATCACCGCCTGCCCGGGGTCGGTCACAGCCCCTCACGGTCCGAGCGGGCTGAAGCTGTGAAGCCTTCCCCGCTCCGGTGAGTCCGTACATATTAATCCCTTCCCACTGAAGAGGGAGTGAGAATCCCCAGGATTTTTATTTATTTACTGCAGTCTGTATGACATCGACGGAAAACCGAGGCACTAAGTCCCTATTGAACACTGGCAACTTCACTTCTCCTAAGTGAAGTTTGAACCTGAAGTATTTTTTTTCTCTTTATTCCCCACTTTTCTGCACCTGTTTTTTTTCATTACACCACAAAATGGTACCTTTGTGAAAGATCATCTTTTCCCTCGAGCAAACCAGACAGATTAGCTGGAAGTGCATTGGAGGGTCACCCCCCCCCCAGCTTGCCTTGTTTGATCAGTTATACACAGACAAAAGGGAACAGGATATTTGGAAGGGGATAAACAAATTGAGAGCTCCATCAGCAGGTTTTTAGCCCAGGATGAGCAGTCACTAATAATGAGACCTGAAGAGGCCAGCGGGGTTGAGTCAGGGAGGGAAAGAATCCCATAAAAGCTGGACAACAGGATGTTCTTAAGAGGGAATTAAACTGGTCTCTATGAGCAATAGTTTTGTACACACTGTAAATACTTGCATAGCAATAAAATTGATCCAAGCTTTGAAAGGGGGATGTAAGGCAGGTGGGATATTTGGTCTTGTGTTTTTATGCACATTTTTAAGGTATTGATCTGAATTTTTGGGGCACAAACTGTTTTTGATGGCTTAACTGAGGCGCTCAGAAAGGAAACAAAGAACCTTGTCAATAACTGGATCATAAGATATATTGTTGGACTTTTTATAGAACAAATGTGTATTGTTACCTTTGATTTTTAGATTACACTTTATTTTGTGTTTACCTTCTTGGAATTTTTTTTTTTTTTAAGAAAATTAAAGTGGCCTGAAACACCTTTGAATAAAACCCTTCAAGTGCTTCTCTGGGGAGTTCTATAATTCATGTTCATGTCTTTTTGGCAAAGGCAATCTTAATGCCTTTATTTGCCCCCACTTTCAGAACATGTGTCTGCTCCCTTCCTTTTTTTTTTTGCACCACGAATTTCAAGGTGTTTAATTTGTGTTTTATTAAAGCCTGTGGATTGGTATGCACAGATGTGAAATTAGAATAAGCAGTTCTGTCACTGTAGGAGCTTCTCTCAGCCCTAAGATCTCCAGAGCATCCCCAAGCGAGTTCTGCGTGGCATTACCTGCTTCCAGACCAGCAATTTAAAGTAGGAAGGCAGCAATAAAAATAACACCACTCTGCTGATAAAAACTCTTCTATTTTTATCAGGAAGGGCTTCCTAACAGCAGCCTCATTAAGGAGTTATTACACTTCCAGTCATGCAGGTTTCTAAGGCTGCCTTTTTCTGATTTCTGCTTGGAGTCTCTCTCTGTGCCAGCAGAGTTCAGGTCACTGCTGCCTTCCTGCATTGCTTCTCCCACGGCTTTTACTGGAAGGCACAGCTCGAAGGCTTGTGGGGTTGGTTTGAGAAGATCTGCAAAGTTTAACACTTGAAAGGTTTACGAGTTAAATGTAGGTACAGCACGTTGCAGAAGCGCCATCCAGTGGAGCTCCGCGTGGCTGATGCTGCATTTCCTGGACAGACGTGAGCAGGGCTGCCGCCTGGATTTGTTATTTCTGTTCCAATAACACTGTAGCAGCAAGTTTGTTCTCAAACAAACGAAAAGCTACTCAGTTCCAGAAGGAAGACACTGTCAGGATCCATAGAATAAACACCAGGCATTTTACTGCTGCTCCCCACATTTCCTCAACTGTGTAAAGTTCTTTTCTTCCTATTTTGGAAACCAGCCTTGTTAATTAGGGGGGGTCAATCAAACTAAAATCCTTACAGGCTTCAACAGATTTTGTGTGACTTTGGTGGTGGATTTAAGCCTTCTGAACTGATAGGAAGCATCAGAAAAGTGGTGCTACTCACGTTTCAAAGTGTCAGGGATTATCTTTTCAGGTGAAGTAATAATTAAGTTGCTAAGCTAAAGCTAGAGTTAAAACCCTTTTTCCACCCCTGACACACTGTTAGTGTTACCAACAAGGTGCACCAACTCATTTCACTTGTAACTGCCCAGTTGAGCTCACACTTCCCTGTGTTCACACAAGGCAGAAGAAAACCTGCTGCTCCATGATCTTCGTAATATCGCATAAAAACCACATTTTACCTAATTGAACAGCTGGGTACAAAATAATCTGAACTAAAGGAGCACTATTTTCACTCTGTGTATGAGCTTACAGGGTTCACTTGTTTTGCAGACTGGAGTGTCCGTGGATTGCTCAGCCCCATCCTGGTTGCTCAGGGATTTGAGCCCAGGCTGGTTTCCTCTGGCCAGCTCAGCTTATTGGTGTGGAGAGTGGAGCAGCTGTGGCACAGTGTGGGACCTCACCCTGCACAGGTAAGGCACAGGCAAGTGACTCAACTACTGCTCTGCATCTTAAAGAGAAACATTTTGAACAATAAATCTGTGTTCTTTGTTGTTTGCTTCATTGTTTATCTTCCCGTCTTCCTACAGAAACACATTCAGAAGTAAAGTACTTGAGATTAGTTTGGTTTGGGGCATTTATTAGCAAAAAATCAGATCTTTAACACTGGCAAGAGCAGACTTATTTCCTGAGCCAGAAACATCAGACCGTTCAGGTTAACAGGAGCAAGGGATCAGGTGCAGAGCCAGCCCTGGACACGAGGGACTGTGGCCTCCTGGGTGGAGCTGTCTCTGCAGGGAGGAGCCAGCACAACTCACAGCTTCAAGCTCTCTTGAAGACCTGTCTGCACACTTGGTTCTCACAACGAAGCTCCTACCAAAAAAAAAAAAAAAACACAAAACCCAAAAAACAAGAGTATAGATGTGAAAACTAATCAAAGCAGCTGCTTCCAAAAATGAACATAAATTCTCTGACTCCACTCTGGCCATGCTAATAGCTTCTGCTTGTCATTACAGTGAAGCTGTTTCAAAGCAAAATGTGCTTGCCATGTGTCATCCATTACAAATACTAGAGTTAGAAGACTTGTGCACACTATGACCACATTATAGATCTTATTTTGGGCATATAGACACAGAATTAGTAGGAATTTGAAGTCAATACCAGGTGGAGGTCATCTCCTTCCAGCCAGTGAGTCCAGCCCCTGTTCTTCTTCTCTCCAGTCTGGACACAGACAAGTTTGTCATTTTCCCAGGTAACCAGGCTCTGTGGAACAGGGAACAAAAAAGTGTCTGTCTCAGTCTTGCAAAATACTTGCAGACAATGTCTGTTTTCCTACATAAAAGAGGACCTAAATTCTGCTCCTGAGTGAAAGTGCAACTCCTTGGCTGTAATTCAGGCTCCTGCCTCTGTGTTGCATTACAAATATTATCCTTGAAACAATTTCAGCTCAAGTATCTGGATCGATCATTTTGTAATAGCCTCTTGATTTTATACATGCATCCTTACCCTGCATTTTCTGTTATCCAAACCTTTATTATCCTCTTCAAACTCTTGTCCAACTTTGAACTCCAGCAGATAATCCCGGAACGTGCTGGTGGTGTGGATGTAGAATGAATCCCCATCCTGTTTGATCACCTTCTGAGGCTTCAGCACTTTGGCTATTTTGCGAGTTGCAAAGTCAATACCTTGGACAGGAGGCAAGAAGGTCAGAGCTGTATTTCTTACCAGCCATTATGCTGAAAACACTTTTCCACAATATTGATAGTTATACTTAGTTTCAAAAAATATACTTAGCTGGACAATGTTTATCATCAAGGAACAGACAGAATCTCTCTTTGATTTGAAGACATTAACACAGTGAGAGGATACTACTTAGTATCCTAACGGAATAATTAGCCATGATGGCAGCACCCTTTCTCTTTTGGTTTTCTTTCTAATTGATAACACAGCAGGATTAGTGACAGAGAAGAGCCCTTTCATCCTGATACCAACTAGACAATTTAAGTAGGTTCCCCAGTATAGACACAGCCAGAAAACAGATTTCTTTCCAGTTGTGGGTACCATCACCAACAAGGGCCTGTGCTGGTCACCAGTTCCCACAGGTCCCAGAGGCAGGGAGGGGTGGGAGAGGCAGGAGAGGAGAGGGCAGCACACGAGGTTCCTGCTGTCACAGTCTGTGAGGAGCTTTGTACAAGAGAGCTCATGGAGTCCTGAGAACTCCTTAGTTCCCCACTAAAGCACCGTGAACCTCTCTATGTATCAGGCTGAGAAACTCCCCAGAGCTGCAATGACTTCTTAGACCCTTAAAATTCAGAAGGACCCTTACTGGGGGAAGGGAGGAAGGACAGAATCAGGTATTTTCACCTACCTAAGGCCACCATATAACCTTCAAAGTTGTCATTGCTGACAAGGTTCCAGGTCCCACTGAAATCCACAGGCATTGCCAGACAGCAGGAGGAAGATCCTGTCAAAAAAAGCGAAAATGAAGAAGTCCTTTTCTAACCAGGCCTTATATAAAGCAGCTTGTGGGTGGGATGATGTGCCAGGGCCTCTCCCATGCAGGGGAAGGGTGCCAGTGCTGGGCCAATGGGTGACAGGGGTGTTTGTGGAATGGCTTCAGCTGTGCTGGAGGGAAAAGTTCACCGTGTCCGAAATCTTTGTGTGGAGCAAATGTTAATAGCCCAAGAGCCACAATGCAAGCCAAAAGCTGGCTTGTGTCCATCCTGTATCCTTGAAAGGGACTGAGATTGTCATTACTAACATTTCCTGCGTGTTTATTAGATCTGTGGCCTTATGACCTGAAATCTGGGTGCTTGTTGAGAAGGTGAGCAGTGATTCATGATTGAGGTGACCCACCCCCTGTAAGGACATGCTGGTTTTGAACAGCCAGGCATTGACTGTTAAACTCATCACACCAATACGTTTTAAAGCAGTGCCTGTGACACAGCAATAGAGATTACAATTCTATCCTGTTGGTTTGTGTCTGGAGTGAAGAGGAGGCACATTCAAATAGTACTGTCATGTACACAAATGTAGCTCCCCCCTTGGCTTTCTACTCCTCACACAGACAGGAGAGCTGATACAGGACTTGTTCCACTCAGTTTTTCAGATGCTTTACACTGTGGCAGAGCACACAGAGCACAGGGTGCAGCAGATAAACTCCAGTGCTGGACTTCACCTTCAGCAAAGAAGGGATAGATCTCTCAGAAGTGATTTTGAAAAGGGAATAAAAAACGCTTGACTTGGAAGAGAAATGATCCAGGGAATTTGGAATTGAGGAAATAAGGGATTTAGAGGTGAAGCATCTCACCTACACTTACTATATTTATCTATTTACTGACTTGTGTTGGGCTGAATAAAAAGGACAACATTTTGCAGAGAAGTCTCCCTGAACTTTAGCTCCTTTTCTGGAGCTGGCAGTTTGACCAACATGACTCACAAATGATATGAGGAGGAAATCAGGACGTCAAAGCTTGTTTCCTGTTTGCAGCTGGATGTTCTCTAACCTACACTAAACCAGGAATGGCACAGAGAAATGAACATGAATGTGTTCCTGGCCTCAAACAGTAACATTTCACCCACAGCCTGGCGTTAGGAGGTTGTGGTAGTAAAGCACTGTTGCAATGCTACTGACTCCTGCAAGCAAAGAGAAGTGAGTGCTTGGGTAAATCCTTTGTCAGAGCCTGGATATAACATTTTAACTTAAAATCAAATTATGCAGATAGCCAGGGGTGTAGATCAGTTCTCTTTGAGATCTGACAAGAGTCCACTCCTGGAAGTTATAACCTGTCTGACATCTCTGAGCAGCCACCTCACTGCTCGTGGTGCTGGTGTTTGTAGCTGATGGGAACAGATGGTGAGTGTGCTCCTCGTGCTGCAACAGGCAGGTTTCTGCATCCCACCAGTAACACTGAGGATCCACACTCAGCACTCAAGAGTAATTTTGGAACAATATTCTAGTCTGTATAGACCAAACTGTACTAACACCGTTCTACTTCTTAAAGATCATGCAGTCATCATATATGGTGAACAACAGGATGACTAAAATTAGCATATGACATGCAATTTATTTTATTGAAAGACCCACCACACATTAAACTCCAGCAAAACAAAACTGAAGACCAAAGCTTTATAAAAAAATCCTACTGAATTTGCAGTTTCTCTACAGTTACACAAAGTGCACCAACACACACCAGCATCATTATTAAGAATAAACCTAAAGTGCAGTTTTAGTCTGAAAAATGATCACCTAAATAGGGTGCTGTTCCATTAGAAGGACTCATTATTCAGTAGCACAATGGTTGACCTGAGGGCTCAAAATAAATCTTTCCTGCCCTCTGTTCTCATCAGTCCCAAGGACAGACAGTGAGCAAGAGAGGAGAGGAGATCTCCCCCTGCCCCAGGCCCCATCAGCAGTCCAGGTGTCTGCAGTCAGCTCAGGCAGTTGGATTGCTGAGGGCACCATTTCTCCTTCCTTTATCACTGCTGAGGGTAAAAGAACCCAAGCTATCACCAAAGGACAGTGTGAACTTGCCTGAGCTCTGGGGAAGAAATGGCAGCCAGCACATTGCATGAGGAATCACCAAAAACACAACCCTAAGGATCCTTGGTGCCACTTTCTGGCACAGAGGCACTTCCAGGGTGTGACTTGACTTTATTACACTGATCTCTTTGTGGCTTCTTCCATCTTGGCAGGCTGCAGCCAGCAGAACACAGATGTTCTATTGACTGGTAAATGCAGGACTGCATGGAGGGCTCCCAGTTTGCATGTCCAGTGCCAGCTGCACTGCAGGATCCAGCTTTTCCCAGCAGTGTGCCAGCTGCCCTGCTGATTTTAGACAAACCTCCCAGGGCCACCCACAACCTTCTGTGTTTGGCTTCTCTCTCCCAGACTCCCCCTGAGCAATGAGGGAAGGCCAGGCCCTGTCAGCTCCCTGGGGATGCCCTGCCAGGGGAGGAGGGTGATGGGTTGTCACAGTTACGATCCTGGAATGTGTCCCTGGTTCTAGACCTGCCCAAGAGCACCTTGGCCTCGTGCCCTGAGGGGCTCACACTGGGCTGGATTTAAGCTGAAAACGGTGAGCAGAGATCTCTGAAAGAGCTGCTGACCCCTCACAGAGTGGCTTGGAAACCTTGACATTTATAATAAGGCACATAATCCAAACAAAAATGGGATGGTAGCAAACAAAGGGAGGTAGAATTCTATCACCATATCATTCACAGTGCCTCTCCAGCTCATATTCACATAATGCAGGCAATATACTGTTAGATTCAAACCCAGATTTCTAGCAAAGAACATTTCACTTGTGGACAGTACTAATTTCCTACCATTTCCTCTCAACTGCAGGAACAGAAAACAATTCTGGCTATATATCATTATATTGTCCTCATGGCTCAAACATAAAAGGTGGTTTATTATTTGAAAGAAATTTATTATTTGTAATAAAGGGACAACGGTCTGAGAATCATTGCAATGGCACTATTATTGACTGCTACCTATCAAATCAGTGGCTGTAAATCAGTTTCTGAGGTAGGTTTGTCCTTCCATCAGAAACAACCAAGCTTAACTACAGCCCTGGAAACACGAATAGAAGAGCAGAGCACAAGACATTTCTGGGAGCAAACTGCATGATGGCAACCAAGCAGCTCAAAGCAGGTGTACCCAGCAGCACCTCAGCCAGCAGGACATTTGTCCCTGCCAGGATGGAGCTCAGTCATTTCTTTGAGGTGAACCACACGCTGGCAATTCGAGCTACACAGATTTACTGTCAGCAAATGGTACGTTAGAAATTAAACAGCCTTGTTAAGGCACTGGGAGCTATCAAAAATATTTGTGTTGGTATTTTATAAACAGCGGTCGGAGCAGTTTGAATTCAAACTGATCAGAACGTTTTCCTTTGTTTTGCTTATTCATTTGCAATTCTCATGTGCCGGTGGGAATTCTTCTACTCTGTGACAAAATGTTTCAAATGTGAAAATCTTATGATGGGACTTGAAAAAGATCATGGAGGTCCAATCATTGAGTGCACCAAACCTCAACAGCAACTACAGAAGTGCTAAAGCCACGGAATTAGCCCACTATTTACCGAAAAAAAATGAACCAAGCCCTAGAAAACACTCTCCTGTACCTAACTGTAGCTTTTGCCCCAGCAGACAGTGAGTTACTGTTCAGTGCCTGTCAGTTCTTGGAGTCACTTGCATGTTTCTGTAGGGGAGCCAAGACCACCCCAGCATTCCTGTCCTCGCTCTCGGGGCTGTACAGGTTGTTCTTCTCGATGTAAGCCCGGACCACGTCAGGCACCAGGTAGCGGATGCTCTGCCCCCTCCGCAGGGCCCTGCGGATCTTGGTGGAGGAAATGTCGTTTGTGATCCATTCCTCCACCAGGTGAATGTTGTCCTTGTGCCTCCACAAAATATCAGACTCGTAGATGAATTTCTGGGCGTTGTTCCCGGCCCTGCTGATGCACACGAGGCCGTGCTTCTCCACGATTTCGGTGATGTCCTCCAACTTCCACAGGTTGGGGATCCCAAAAGATTCCAGCATGTCGCTGCCACAGAGCAGCTTAACCTGGGGGACACCTGAAAAAGAAGTGAGAAACAGGGCTTGGTTTAGGTCACCAGATTTTAGCAAACTTGATAGGGACATCTGATTTCTGGGCTTATCTCTCTGTTATGATGAGACAATGGAATGAGTATTTAATTTATAATCAACAGCCTCAGTACAGGATTTCTCTGAATAAAGGTTCTGGAAGTCCCTTCACTAAAAGGATCTACAGCCTTATGCTGTGGGATCTAAGGGGATAAACTTCCTCAGTGGCATCACAACCATAAAACAGTGCAATTCTCTTGAAAGAACAAGTCTCATTAACCATTTAATTGGCAAATAGACTCAACTTTTTACATCTGAGCTCTGATTTTTCTTTTTAGCGGGTTCGTGCCTGTTTGGTTCCTGTTTCCTCTTCCTCCCCAGCTTTGTTAAGGGCACAGCATCCTCCAGACTGTTGGTGGCATCAGCAGGTAAAAACTTTTGATGGTGGTACCTGCAAAACAGATGTATTTTAGGTATTTTAAAGATGTAGGAGGAAATAGGGATAGTGTGGCCTGTTAAATAATCTACCACACTTCCTCCTGCAGCACTTCCACAGACAGTCCACCCAAGAGCTGACCTGCTGAAACACGGACTCGAGAGCTCGGTCAGATGGTGGTCAAAGTGCAAAGATTTCAAAGCAACAATAAGGTTGGTTTGTTTATTTCTTTATTTTAATAAAAATTTGTTTTAATGATAAGAATCTCAGTGAAGTAGCAATGACTGAAAGAGCAAAAACATAAAACTCAGAAAATACTCCTTCAGACAACTCTCCTGCCAGTCTTTAAACACACAAATGTGCAGCACAGCTTGGGTGTGCCCTGTTCTAGTCTGTCCTTCCCCATGGACACCTTTTCAGCACAAAAACTGAACAAGGCCTAAGAAATTACTTATCTTAAAAATCGTTCCCAGACTCATTTTTGGCATGTTTAGGACTAATAGGGCAATCTTTCATTTTCAGTGCTCATATCAGCAGTCCCTGTGAATTCACTGGGTCTGTTCCCAGGATTTGGGGCCAACCTGCCATTATCTAACTCCTTAGGTTAACACCACTGCTTATCCTTCTATAGGGTTGTGAGACTTTTTAGAGCTTGGCTGAAGAATACCTTAAAACTTTTAGTGTTTCCAACCACTCACTCTGGCTGCTTTCCCAATCATCAACTTCCACCCAATCCGAGTTTTTTGTAGCCAGTTTTGCCATTGTCACTCGGTGATTCGCACTGATCAGACCTTTCTTCTTGTATGCATCACCCACCGGTGAAATGATGCCCTTGATTACTTTGTATTTTCCTGTGGGGGAAAAAACACACCACACAAGAACAGGAGAAGTGGTTGAGCAGATGTGACTTCCCCTGCATTGTATTTAAACTATGACATTATTCAGGGCGATGGCAGCTCTGACAGCCAGCCCAGTGGAAAAGTACAATTCTCTTCTTTCACTGTCAGGGCAGCACAATGAAAGAGTTGGCAAGATATATTAGAAAGACAGATTTCTAAAAACTGACTTTAAAACTGTGCTTTAGCTCGTTGAAATCAATAATCAGCAACATGTAGATAAGACAGTTCTATCATGTTGACCTACATGACTCTGCATGACACATCCACACACACCAGCCTCAGTATCTAATTAGGATTTCCAGAAATATCTGCCCCTGTCAGACAGGCACTTACAGACACAAAACATTCACCTTAACACTTCAGTGCCCAGTTATCAAAGCTATTGTGACTGGCACAAATGCCCACCCTACCTGTTTCATGGAAATAGTCTTTAGCCAGCTCGAACAGCCTCAGGTGCATGTTGGTGATGGGGTTGAAGGAGCCACAGGCCAGCAGCACCACCTCAGTCTTCCTGCCAGGATCTTCCATAGCCATTCCTCACAGCCAGAGCAGAGGGCACAGCGTTGGTGCCAGGTACCTGCCACTGCAAGGAACGGGATCAAACAAGAGTTTGTTACTTATTCGTGCTGCCGATAAGCAGAACATAAAATGTCAAATCAAAAGATCGAATGGGACACTTCCATCACCACTTGGCCTGTGACTGTTCATGGAATACTGCGTTTTTAAGGGATTAAAATATGAAATCACTCCTGCTTGCCTAGAGAGGACAGTGTGCTGCCCACTCTGAAGAAAAGCAGCTCATGCTTTCAGATTTCACATGGAGAGATGATCTGTCCTGATTGCAGGACAAAGTTTATTAGAACTTTGCACCTTTTTTATGATGCCAGTGCCAATCAACTGCCATGAGACACGTGGGCAGGGAACTTCCTTGTTAAGTAACTTCCTCCTAGTGCTTACAGGGAGGAACAGACCTAGGGTAGCTAATCGAAACTGCAGTGAGCCTTTCCAGAAAGATCTACAAAATCAATATATTCGATATTCTGGAGGAGAACAGTGTTACCATTTCTTCCTTCACGATTTATTTACGTTTTCTGTAATGTAAAATGGAAAGGGTGGTCATTTATATCATTCAGGATGGTATGAGGGAAGAGAGTGCTCTGGACTGAACCTGAATAGAATCAGTCTGCTTTGTGGTGCAGAAAGTCAGTGGTAGGTGTACCAGTGGAACAGGTGATAGAAGAAGAGTGAATTAAAACAGGTTCAGTAAAAGCTCCAATTAAATACTGGATTTTTTCCCCCTTCTCTGAAGTACAACAGCACTGTTCCAATTCTGAGTTTCAGTTTCAGAAAGCTGCTTAAGAATTGATGCAAATCAGGAAATTTCACCAGTTATCATTTCATTTCTCCTCATACTACACGGATTCTTGGTTCTGTGTTCTTCCCTGAGGATATTCTGGCTTGCCAAGATGATTTTCCCCAGGCTGGCTCTAACAAACAAAATCTGGGATATGCCATGGGCCACTCTCCTGCTGCTGCTGTTCAGGAATTGTGGAAACATCCGTGAGGATTGTCTGGAATTGTCTGCCGTTGTTTCTACAGCAACATCCCCGCCTGGAAAGATCCCACAAGGTCACCCTCACATCCAGTGTGTGTTCCAAAGAGGCTGAGTGATGTTCACAGCTCTGAGACACCATCACAGCCAAACCTGTAACAGCCACTGCGTCCCAACATCAAACAGCCCTGGGATAAAAGCAGCTCTCGCAAGGCTTTCACCTCTTGCAAGTGTTAGCACTTTCCTGTGCTTTCAAGAGTTTCACCAACTTTTAAAATGTGCTTTATTACTGCAGAGTGGCTCAGCAGAGGACGGGCTGGTGGCGCTTGGAACAGCCTTGGCTGGGGCACGGCTGGGAGAGTTACCATGGGAACAGGAGAAGGGAGTTAAACGGCCTTTGGAATGCACAGACTCCACTTCCTACAGAGTGAATCCTGCTGCAAAACTGGAAAATGGTTGGTTTTTTTTTTTCCCCTTAAAAAACAAAAAGTGCAAAAATAGTTGAAAATTTTCAGATGAAAGCACACAGTGCCTTTTCAGGAGTCACTCAAATGTCCCTTTCCGTGCTGCCAATTTTACAGCCTTCAGAAGGAGGCAATTACTGTCTCGCAAACTCACCTTGCAGAGCTTCACATCCACACAGAAATGAGAGTATAAATAGAATTCCATAGTTTGCACATCCCCTCAGCCTCCTAATTTGCATTGACACCCTTTGTCTAGCACTGTTAGCCCCAACTTTTTGGGAAAAGCCATGAAATTTGCACATCCCAAAGAGAAGAGCAGACTAGGACCAGGGACCACTAAAGCCCGGCCACTGCCTGAGCTGTACATGGAACCAGGCCTGTTCTTGCTGTATAATAACAGTAGTTTTGATGAACTGCATATCGTTTGGCACTGCTTGACACAAATCCCATTACTGCAGTTTAACCACAGGATCCAATACAGAGATGAGAGAGATCTGCACACCACAGGTGTTTAGCTCCATAAAACTGAGACCAGTCTTAAAATAATTAATGCTGTCTTATTCTAAATAGTAAATATTGGTTCAATCTCTCCACAAAGACTTAAGAAGGGAAAATAAAGTAAAATGGCCTTCACTTGGGTATTCCAGAAGTGTAGGACATCCTGGATTATTTCCCCTTCTTCTTCTGATGGAAAAATGAGGTGCCCTGTGATGTACTCCTTACACAGATGCTTATATATAATCTCATCATGCTTACACATAATCCTACCAGCATTTAGTGTGTGCTGATTGCAGCCCTGCTATTAGCTGGGCTGCACAAGTGTTTGCATTAAAATACACCAACTGCAGGTCCTGGGGACCAAACAGGCGAGGATGCTTTGCTCGATCTCTTTTATAATTCAGAGCCAAACATTTATCAAACCCCTTTACGGATCTGTATCGTATATTCTGTATAGAATTCATCACATTGCCCGCCCGGAGCCCCGCACTCACCGCGGGGTGCTCGCGGTGCCCTCCCCGCCCCGCACTCCCCGCGTGGGACCCGCGGTGCCCTCCCCGCCCCGCACTCCCCGCGTGAACCCCGCGGTGCCCTCCCGGCCCCGCACTCACCGCGTGGCCCCCGCGTCCCGTGCCCGCCGTCCGCCGCTCTCCGGGCCCGTTGCCGCCCGCGCTCATTGGCCCGGGCGCGGCGGAAGCGGCGCCGGGGGGACGGTCCGGGCCCGCCCCGCTGAGGCCTGGCCGGGTGAGGAGGGGACAGGGGGAAAGGGGAAGCGGGGCCGGGTGGGGGAGTGGAAGCCGGCCCGGAGCGTCGGGAACAGGCGGCACCCGCGCAGTGCCGGTTCCGCCGTGCCGCTCCTCCTGCCCGCCGCCCTCCCCGCAGGCCCGGGCGCCGCTTTCCGGCGGGAGGGTCGCGTTTCCCGGTCGGCCGCGGGCGGTGGTGCCGCCCCTCGTCAGCGGGGATGCCCCGCTGACCGCGGGCTCTGTGCCCGCTCCTGCCTGGGCCAGGGTTCCTGTGGCGTGCCCCGCTCCCCTCGTGGTGCTGCCGGAGCGTTCGTGGCTCAGCTGCAGGCGCGGTGTCTCACACACAGCTCCGGGCGGCCCTGGGAGAGGCGAACCTGCTGTTTTACATAGCGGGGCCTCCGTGCTTCAGTAACCGCTGCTCTGCTGGGTTTGACCCTCCTTTGGTTGTGTTACTGCCCTGGTGAACCGCCTCTTGCTGCCAAGATAATCCCGTACGCACAGCCTGGCGTTTCTGTTTACACTGCAAGGATCTCCAGGTGTTGTGATTAGGCATTCCATCAGCAAGATACTGCATCGTTTTCTTGCTGCTTGGAGCATTGTAAATAGGTTTTCAGTCGTTGATACAAACAATAAAACGTGCTTTCTCCTAGGAGTGTCATGTAACAACTGGAAGTTTTCATGTGAAAACAGAAAATGGCTTCAAGGGGAACAACAGAGACCAGCAAACTAAAACAAAACTTGGAGGAGCAGCTGGACAGATTAATGCAGCAGCTTCAAGATCTGGAAGAATGCAGGTAATAAAAATAGCTGCTTTTCTCGTAAATGGTAATAATTTTCTTAAGTGGTTGGCAGAAAGTGGTACTTTTCAAAAATCTTGTGGGTTTTTTTGTTTGGTGTTTTCCTGTGGCTTTATATTTTTTTAATTAGGATGTTTGTGTTAGGTAGTAAAAATTATATTAAAAAAGAGATAATTTCCTTTATTATCTGAAGAAAACGCAGGCAGAAATACCCAATGGTTTCTTTATATTTCAGTGTGACTTTTTAGCTCACACGACTCACAGTTTCCTTGTGGGCTTTTTTAATATCAGGTAGCAAATACCTTTTGTGTCTGGTTTGGTTTGTCCTGTAGTTATGGACGCTTTTGGTGTTTTTTTTTTTTTTTGACACAAATAAAACGAAAAGTTAGACAAACTAATGTGATTTTTGTGTTACTTTTCCCTGGGCTAATAAAACTTGAGTCAGACTGAATCCATTGCTGCCTGAGGAATGGAGCTCCCTGATACTCCCCAGTGCCCTTTTCTCCATGGACATCTCAGGTTAAACCTTAATTCTGAATTAATGTGTCCTGTGTAGAGAGGAGCTGGATGCGGATGAGTATGAGGAGACCAAAAAAGAAACCCTGGAGCAGCTGAGTGAGTTCAACGACTCCCTGAAGAAGATCATGTCTGGAGATATGACTCTGGTGGACGAGCTCAGTGGGATGCAACTGGTGAGGATGATGTGCTGCTAAAAATAGTTCATGTTTTTCCTGGAGCTGATGAAGCAGAAAATAGATCCACTGTGATTTTTGGGTGAAACCTAGATCTATGTAACTGATGTTTTTGTTGTTTAAAAGTTGTGTACGTGTAAGAACTTGCGTGGGCTTCTTCAGTTTAAAAGGGAAAAAGTATTGAAAGATTATAACCACAACACCGGGAAACTGCAGGGAAAAATAACAGAATTTTAATATAAAAGGTCTAGGATAATATATATCCGGATAATATATATCCTGAGAAATACAATTCATGCCTGTTTGCTAGAAAGCAAAGATAGCGCTTCCAGTGCTCTTCTTGCTGACTTGTGTTTCAGATTCATACCAGTCCAAATGAAAAGGCTGTAGAATGATTATGTGACTTTAGGTTATTATTATATATTTATATATTTTATATCTATATTATATTATTGATCTTATGCTGACTCCCAAACTTCTGATCTATTTTCTCTCTTTCCAGTGTTTTATTAGAGCAATAATTTCTTCCTTCTAAGCTCTGTGTTTTAGGATTTTGTTTCCATTGAGATCATGGCTTGTCCAAAGGTATCTGTGGGGAGATCTAATAATGATAATTTTGATAATCCACAGAGGATTTTGAATAACAGTGAGGTGTTTGCCTCATCATTTACTATTCTGCTTCCCCTTAGAAGAGCTGTAATCATCAGTGTGGGCATGAAAACTGTGCTAATATCAGGAAAGTGTTGGAAATTATTAGAAAGTAAGACCTGGACTGTAATGAGAAACTTCACAGCTCTTCCTTAGTGTAGTTGCACTAATGAGTGGATTCTCCAAGCCCTGCATAAAGGTCATGTGTTTTGTTTTTTTTCATCTTACTTCCATGGTTATAGAAAAAAGAAGAGCTCTGTATCAAAGGATGCAGAGGGTACTAATGATGCTCTCCAGCCCTCCTTACTCTTGTGTTGATTGAGAGTCAGTCCTGGTCATTCTTGCTCTTTCCCTTGCAGGCAATCCAAGCAGCCATCAGCCAAGCCTTTAAAACCCCCGAAGTGATCAGACTGTTTGCAAAGAAGCAGCCCAGGCAACTGAGGACGAGGCTGGCAGAGGTGAAAGCTTTTTGTTTGACTGCAAAAACTGTTTGTTTGAGCCAGACTGATTCAAGTGTGTAAGGACTGTAAGGAGAGCACTGAGTGTGCTGGACAACTTGGTGTGTCAGCATCATAAAGAGGTGCAGAAGGTCTCTTTGAGGATGTGTTCAGTTTTAAATGTTTATTGAGGTAACAGTGTGTATTTCTTGAGTTATCTTCCTGCTTCCAAACGACGAGATTGGCATTGAGAGTGAAGTGAGCAAACTGCAAACAGAAAGTCTGGGGTTGTACTGAGGGCTGGAGAGTGCACTCAGAGATCTAGACTGAACTGAGGATGCAGATAAAGTGAAATTAAACGTGATTGCTCCATGTACCAGTGATATGTGAATCCATAATTTTCAGTGAGTATCAGTCTTTGATGAAAGAAGATTCAAGTGTGGGGAAATCACATCAGCTGAGGTCAGCTGAGGAGAGTATTTGCAGAACATTCAGAAAAACGTCACAACCATCCTTTAAATCATAGATAGCTCTGTCCCTTCCTGCTGTGGGTCTGTGCTTGCTGAGGATATTTTTAGGCTGTTGCTTTTTTTGTGCTGTTGTGTTGAGTGAAATAATGGGAAGATTATGTATTTTGACTTGTTTTTCCCCTCTAATGTGCAGATGGACCGAGACTTGATGGTTGGGAAGTTGGCACGAGACCTGTACACCCAGCAGAAAGTGGAAATCCTGACTGCCCTCAGGAAGCTTGGTGAGAAGGTAAAGTGTTGAGGGGAAGCTCAGGTGAACAGAGCTCTCTATCTATCTATTTAACAGGAGTTTGAAATAATTAAAATAAGAAATGATGGCTTTCATGAGCAAACAATAAAATGCAACTTGCTTTTGTGGTATAGAAATGTCCTTCCGTTTTAATGCCAGGCTTTCTGAAGCACTCACTGCTGAACATGTATCAAATAGTTTTGTGCTTTTATATAAGGCTGTTTCTACTTTAAAATGCTTTCTTTGGGCCATGTAAATGAATCACATACAAGCTGGCACAAGATAATCACATTTATAGAAGCTCACACCTATTTACCAGGAACTATCCAAAGCTTTTGACACACATCCAGCTTCACTTACTTTTATATTGTTGATAATACAATATAATACACTATTCAGTATGATACAATATTCTTTGTCTCTTGGTGTAAGGTAAAGGAATTGGAGAGATGAGGGATAAGGGGATTGTTGCCCCCAGTAATCCATAAGTGGCAGAACAAGCCCTGGGTTTGCCACCAGAGGGAGGAAGAGAAGTTGTTATTTCTCTTTGTGGCTGGTGAATGAAGAAAATGAGTTGCTGAGTATCTCTGTACTTAAAGTTCCTTAGGAAATGAAGGAGTGTAGTGGAAAAGATCAAGTGCAGTACTTAAAGGAGCTGCAGTTCAAGTGGGTTCCAAAGCAAAGAACACTTTTATCGCTTGACTGTCAGAGGGGAAAAAACCACGTTTTGGAGACATATAAAAGGCTAGTTAAGATTGTGAACTGAAAGCATGAAGATACCTAATCCTCCTGGCATGAGTTCCTTGAGTCAGCACATGTAGCCACCTCACCAGGCTCTGACCTAACCTGTTAATCTTTTAAAATGATCAGCAATCTGCTGCACAGAGGACTTGCCAGGGCAGTAGTTCCACATCTGGTCTGGATGTGAACAATGACAGTAAAATTTCCCTGTTTGTCTGCACAATACTACCAAGTTTTAAGTAGTTGGATCAGGTAACTCCTGTGTTTTCCTTCATTCCAGCACCATCCTGAGTGCCTGGACCCGACTTTTCTATTTCTAACAAATAAACTGATGCAAACACTGTGAACAGCTTGACAGCCTTATGCTTTGCTTTAATAAGGATGTGTATCTGAGGCTAATTAAATGAGTGACTTTTAACTTAGAATATCTGAACCTTCCAAATGTAGGTTACTGCTTCGTTACTGTAAATATTTTATGGGCATCTGTCACAAGGCATCAGAGCACACACATAAAAGCAAAATGTACACGTGCAAATGTCCCTTTAAAGGAAGAGAACCATTTCTAGGTCATTGGCCCTTGACATGGTCAAAGCTGGCAGTGACTGCATGTTTGGCTCTCCTCAGTAGATGATGGGAGGTGAGTTTAGACCTCAGTTCAGCACTGAACTGACCACATGATAAAAACAAGTTATTGCCATCCTTTGCCCAGTTCAGGTGCCCAGGTACAGTGTGACCTCTCCATCACAGCTGAGCACTGGAGGTCAGCTGGACACTTTGAGGTGCACAGGGAGGCACGGCTGGCACTGCCCATCCGTCCTGCCTGGGCTGGCAGGAGCCATGGAGGGAAAATCCAGTGCCAGGGGACGTAGGTTCATCTTAATTGTAGGTTTTAGTTTGTTAAATAACACTGCCACTTAAAAACTGCTGATGGGCAGTTGCTGTCACCTGTCATAGTTCGTGTAGATGGTGGGAATGTGCACAATCAAGGTGTGAAGTTCACACTTGTGGCCTTTTTTGCTTTAGCTCACTGGGGATGATGAGATGTTCTTGTCAGCAAATGCTGGTACAGCCCTGAGCCAGTTTGAGAGGGTCTCCACTGACCTTGGTAAGTTTTCATTCTTATAACTCCCCATTTCTTTGCCTCACTGAACGCTGATTAATAGAAATATCTCTGGTTCCCCCTTGAAAGAGAAAATATGAACCAAAGATTCATGCCATTAAATGCTGATGTGCATTTTATTAACAATGGAACTCTGATGCACTATCCATGAGGAAAAAGTAACCCAGCAGATAAATCCAGGGCCAAATGCCCATGAAATGCCAAGTGCTGCCCATCAGCTGAAGGCTTGAATGGCCTGTCTCAAGCAGAGATGCTGCTCTTACAGTTAAACACTGATCTTTTTGGCATTAATGATTCTCCTGAGGAGAACCTTTTCCTCTGCTTGATGCAGAGAATTTGGCAACTATTGGCACGCTGTCAAAACACAGCTTTAAAGCAGCTTCTTGCTTTGATTGTCACACCTCTAAACATACTGACAGGATCAAAAGTTCAGTTGTAAAGTGCATTAAATCAGCACAACAGTTCATTCTGGCATTACAGTTAGAACTGGGATGAAAGAACCGTGACTGGCAGGAAGGTGCCAGACTAGGTCAGGGTGCAGCTAAAGTGTGTCTGAGCTGGCTTTCAGCACTGCTCTTCCTGAGAGGGTCAGCGAGGTGAGAACCTTCCTGTTCAAAAGGGGACTCTGTGAGTAGCCCTGTGTGTGGTGGGCTGCCCTTGGCTGGCCCACCAAGCCACTCTCTCATTCCCCCTCCTCAGCAGGACACGGGGAGAAAACAGAATTAAAAATCTTGGGTTGAGATAAAGTGTTCTCATTTTCACAACGTGGGTTTGATTTCTTTTGATCTCCAGCGTTCTGCTGGATTTAAATTGTACGTAAGGAAATCCACAATTTCTACTAACACTTAACTGAAAATGTTTTCTCCCCCCCTCATAGGTTCAGGAGACAAAGTCTTTGCTCTAGCAAGTGTTGAAGTAGAAAAGGCAAAGCAATGAAGAGGTGTGTGAGGCTCGTGTCTCTCCACTTACCAACAGCACTGGACTTCTGTCACACTGCATTTGGTTTTTCTATTTCCAATATGCTGAAAAAAACCAACAAAACAAAGCAAAGCAAAAAAAAAAACCACCCAAACCCTAAACCTTCTGGGTTCTTAACCAGAAGATATGAAGTGTTTTAAACAGCCTTAAGTGCACTTTGGAACCTTGGTGTCTGTACCCCTTAAGCTCTGAGGCTGAACACTAAGTGGAACTCCAGAAACAAAAGCATGGGTATGTCTGTCTTTGGAAAGAATCAGCTGTTTTGGACTTTTCTGAATGTGTATTTCTCTAACTATTAAAACTTACATCTTTTTGCATGTGGTCGTAGCAAGCAGATCTTTTTCAGGAGCAGTCCCGGTGAGTTGGTTTTTTGGGTGATTCTTCACGTTGTCTTAGTTCTTGTCTGGACTCCCTACTAAGTAGTTTTTGTACCAGGACAGCACTGAAGCTTTGAAAATGGAGTTGGTTTCTTAGGAATGCCATCTTCCTGCAGACTGTTTGCAGAAGACCCCCGAGGGGCCTGGGTGCTGGTGGCTGGCCTGGCTGCCTGTTTGCCGTGCACATGAATGAGCACTTTGTGTGGCAGTGGGACTGACAGACAATGGCAGCGCTGTGGGGAGGCTCCTGCAGTCGTTTAACCTCGTGTTTCGAACGACAGGGGACTGATAGGAAATGGCAACGAGGGGCTCGTTCTGTGACCTCTCCCCTCAGCTCTGGTGCATGAGCACACCCTGCCCTGATTCCCCCGGGGTTTCAGGGGTGCTGTGAAATAACCTGCGAGTAGAAGGAGGTTTTAAAAGGGGGGCAAAGCTCCCTCTGTGTGATCAGTGCAGGTGTTGCTCAGTGTGGAGAGGGGAGGGTCTGTGCCTCCCTTAGGACTAAACTCGGTACAGGAGGATTTCAGATCTCATACTGTTGAATCTTTAGCTCAGAGGGTGGAGAAACTACTCGGGGCTTAAATTCCTGACAGACTGTACTTTGTAAAATCACTGGTAGGGATCTCATTCCCTAACTTTGGGCTCCTTCACACTTCAATTCGAGTGCTTGTTTGCATTTTGTCAGAGCTGATTGGAAGCCTGGATTTCCCTGAGGTTTTTCAGCTCAAGAAATTTAAGGTGCATTTAAGGTCTGCCTTACCCATGGTGTATGTTCAGGTTCTGAACTAATGATACTGGCAACAACAAAACCACACCAAGGGCATTTCTTAATGTCACAGTAGGTCTGTGGCTGGAAAGAAAAGGATGGGTGATAATAATAAAAAAATAAAAATAATAATTAAAAAAAAAATTGAGAAGAATTCCAAGGGAAAAAAAAAGTGATTTTGTTAGTGCTTGGGATTAGAAAAACAGAGAAGGAAATGTACTGGAAGGATGATTCTGAGTTATTTTAGAATTAGTAATGGTTTATAAAATGTGCTTTTAAACCCAGGTGAGTTTGGTTCCGGTTTATGGTGGCGTGGCTGGTTTTGGCCCTGGATTTGTCAGTGTTTATTGGAGTAGAACGTGGTGTTTTGCCTGTCATGTAGATGTCTGTGGCTTGTATAGCTAGAAATGAGCTTCAGTGGGAACTGCCATTAAATGGAGTGAGTGAAAAGAGTGCTAAATTAGGACAGCTTGTTGCAGTGGGAATCTCAGTACCCCATAGCAGTCACTTGGAGACTGAGGAGCACTTACAGGGCATAAATACCCTACAAAAAAAGCAAGTTTGTCTAAGTGTAAACCAGGAGGAGCAGACTAGAAAATGTGTTGTTTACCGTATTTTGCTGTAGTAGATACCTTTTGGAAACGCAGCGTTTCAGAAATGGGAGGGCACGAGGTACAGACAGCATAATTTCTGTGTTCCACTAGTGGAACTTCTTTCCTCCCTTTTTTTAAGAAGCCTTTATTTAGACCAGGCCTTTTGTCCGTTCTGTCAGAACCATTTTGCTGTCTGGGGCAGTATTGTGTGCTCTGACAAAGGCTCATTGCAGCTCCAGAGCTGAGAGCAGCTTATTAAAAGGCATTATTAGACAGTCTGAAATTATTGCAAACAAAACAGCCCGTGGGGACCGGAGCTGCCTTCTCTTCCTCTCTGCTCATTACTGGTGCTAAGGAACTCCCTCCCCCCACCCCCCAGCCTGCTTGCAGCATTAGGATGTAAATTAAATCTCTCAGCACTCCAGGATCAAGTTTACAGTGCTATGGAAATCTTCCTCCTCTTCCTTTGAGAGGTGTTTGTTTCCAGGAGAAACTTTTTTTTTTTTTTTTTTTTTTACTGATTTGTAAACATTTCAGGATTTTTGCAAAGTTTCTGCACTGCAGGCAGTTGTAACATTCCTATTAAAGTCATCCTTGGCTGAACATCTTTTCAACGTCGTGCTGCTTCTGCTCCTGGAAAGTTCTCTGGTGATTTTGGTGGACAAAGGTGGAGATTGAGATCAGTGACCAATATGGAAGATTCAGTGGCTGGGGCAGAATTCCCTCCTCCAAAGCTGTGCAGAGTCAGAAATGAGAGCTGTGACACACAGCCTGGCTGTGTCCTGCAGGAGGCTCTGACCAGAAAGGTGATTTACAAAGGAAGCAGTTGCTGGTGTGAAGCTGTTCACCTGTCGACCCTCACTAATAGTTTAGTGGCCTGCTTGAGGTGTTAGATGGATTTCAGAGGTGCAGGAAGTTAATTGGTGTGTTGTGCTAAATGTTTTGCTGAATAACCCTGGGATGTACCTCCACCACTGTCTGAAATGTTCCTGCAGGAGCTGGGGGGGAAACAAAAATCCATTATTTATTTATTATCATAATCATTTGCTGAAATAAAAAGTGGTAACAAAAGACACAACTGCTAAATGAAAGCATGGATTTGTTGGTTAACAAACAAGCTTGTGATGTGTGAGTTCCATCCCCAGTTCAGTGTTAGACCCTGGCAGATCACTCATTCTGTACACATCTTTCCTGGAGTAAAATACAGATTATGATCCTTGAATATCGAGTGCTGTGAAGTTGTTATTGATCACACACGGCTTTGAAGATTAAAATGCGCTTTGTTTTTTGTTTATCATTTTACTTCTGAAGTAAGAATTGTAAAGTACAGTAGCTTTAAACACATCAGCAAAGTTCCCAGAGCCCCCTTTTTTTTTTTTTTTTTTTTGGGCCATATGTAACCTCCCTTTTTTAATCTTCTTTTTCTATGGAGTGAATTCAGTGATTGCACTGATCTGAAAGGAAAAGCGTTGGAGAGAAAATTGAAGCTTCAAATGCTCTGTCTCCCTTTCTTCTTTGTCTCCTTGTATTATTTCCCTCCTTTGATCTTGAATGGAAAAGTAGCGAGTTCTCTTTGTCTTAAAGGAAAAAATACAAGATTTCTTAAGAGATCCCTTGGTTCCTCGTGTTACCTTGCCTGTAAAAGTCAAATCCATTTTGATGGAGACCTCTGTGTTCAGGATCCCCTCCTGCCCAGGCAGCCAAGGCTGTGTCATTGGTGGCTGAAATGGGAGGCAAATTCACATTGAACCACTTGGTTTTGTTTCCAGTGTGGCAATTCCCTCCCTGTGCAAGGACAAGTACGATTTTTACATTGTAAAGAAACAGAAGTCAGCCTGCGGGCACCTTTTGAGTTTCCCCACCTCCATCATTTTAAAATTATCCTCCCTGAGTTCTGGGGAAGGATTTCACTCTCATTTAAATTCTGCCTGCCCACAGGAGAGGAATGGCAACTGCTCATATTGGAGTTTTTCTTGAGGAGCCGTGGAAAATGTGGCACCTTGTCCTGCTATGAGGTTTTAGGGTTTTTAACTTCACCTTAAGAGGGGTTTGCGCCTGTGAGGGTGAGGGGAGAGTTACTGGAGTTGATGTTGCCCAAGATTTTTCTGCTATTACTTTTAAACACCCCAGTGAAACAGGAGCTGCTGATGTTCAGAGCACCTGGGAGGGTGGCCTAAAGTACCTGACACCCCCTGAGAGGACAAATAAAAACGTTTCAGAATAAGTGGTCTCTAAAATAAGGTCTCAGAAGAGGAAATACAGGCGCAAGGTTGGTGGATACAGCACTGCTGTATCATGCACCAAAATAGCTGCTGTAATTTAACACACTCGTGTAAATGTGCACATTATATTTAATAGCAGATTTCTTATTTAAACAAGTACTAACCCTGAGACTTTTTTTTTTTAATCTCGCTATTGTAATAGTTTGCTGCTTGATAATGTTTAGGATGATGTTTTGAACATGCCTCCAAAACTGGGTCAGTAATAACTGAGACGTGCTGGAAACCATCGGATCCACCTGCAGATCCCGTGGACAGAGGTGTAGTGTCTGGGTAAACAGCTTTTCTTTATCCTTACAAGGTGGAGATGGAAGTTAAGTTATTGTAAAAGGGTGTGTTTTGCAGCTTTGTAAATACCAAATTTTAACCTGGGAACACTGGTGGTTTTGAATAAAATAGGCAGCTGAGAAGGTTTCTTGCCACACAAACTAAGCCTGGATTAACAAAAAGATGATTGTCAAAGCCTTTCTTGCAGCAAAGGGCTTTTTTGTTCATGCCCTGAAAATCTCTCTGCCTGCCTCCTCACTGCACAGCCCCTGTAGGATCATTCAATATTGGAACTAAGGCAGCTGAACCATTTCTTTTTTTTTTTTTTTTTTTAGTATAATCTCTCTAACCTACACAAGTTTTGTTTGCCCCTGGTCATGGAAAATTCACCTGACTGCTGTGCCCTCCACCATTTCTCGGTGTCCCAAGTACACAGGGTTGAATGGTTGAATTGCATTTAATTTTGAGGAAACACTGCAACACTGCTGCAGCAGAGCTTGATTTGGATGGATGGGAACTGTCAGCCTAAGTCTGAAATGTAAGAGATTAACAAAAGAAAAAGAGATTCCAGGCTAAAAACAAGTCCCTCATTGGGTACCACACACATCTTGGAGAGAAAGAGTTTTCCTTGTTGTGTGTGGTTGGATCAGGGATAATGAAAGCAGGGCCTGTGTGTGCAGATGCTGCTGGAAGCCCTTAATGAGAGGGAGATGCCAACAAGTACAGAGGGACTTGGAGGTGGAGGCAGCTGTGCTGTGAATTTCCTAAATGATTTCCAGAGCTGATGAAGAAAGTACTGGAGATCAGGAAGGACAAGGTGAGTTGAGAGGGTTTTTCCAAGTCAAGCAGGGATTCAGAGATGGAGTTTTGGCTTACTAGAACAAACAGCAGCCTCATTAAACGAGAGATTAGGAGTGATTGAAAGGAAAAATCCATTTAATCTGAGAGAGTTTTGTAAAATAATATCAAGCCTTTACACAGTACTTGTAAAAATGTTAGAAAGACTTAACCTTTAGATAATTAATCTTCCTAACG